CTGACACAGCATCCCTAACGTTCTTGTGGTAAAGGCAATTAAAATAACCGACCACACTGTGGTCACACTGTTTACTCTGGAGGCTGAGATTTGAAGAAAGCAGAGACACAGTTGTAGGATTAATAATCCACTTTCCCTGCAGCTTGTGTCAGCCATACAAAGCTTCCTACTTGCCAGTTTTTTAGGTTGAAAAAGACACATTCCTAGATTTTAAACTCGTGTCCCTTATGAAGTGTAACAGACATGATCATACAGAGATATGATAACACATAAATATTTCGGCAGGACGACACATTCAGACATTTGAATTCTGTTTAAAAAAGTGTCCCAAATGTTAGCTAAACGTTAAAAAAGACTAGAATAACAGATATTTGAAGTTAAACATGACTATATTGGTCTGTTCAGGTGAATGAATGAATTTCTCATGTTGGAAAAAAAAGCAGTCACGAAATTGGGATTTTAACAACTATTCAAGAGATACTTTAGTGCACAATTTCTTGGAAGCCTTTTGGTATTTCTCACTTTAACTCGGCACTATGGAGTGGAGTTATGGCTCCGACTTGTATTTCCTGATGGCTTATCTTTAGCTACCTTGGGATGCTGGTAGCTTCGGCCAGGCAAAGTGTACATGCTAACTGTTATTAGTGTGGCAAAAGTGATCCAACATTTATCCGTTTATCTTTATTGGCGTAAATAATGCATCTATCAATTTAAACTTGATTAATGCAACTGTAAAAATACTGGCTCAATTTATAGAGACTGCAACCCAGAAATGTTTGTGCTGCTAATTTTGTAATGCAATGTCACAATACATGAGGTTCAGGAATTACGGCCTTAACAGGAAGATTTATGGTTTGACTTTTAGACCCATCTAATAAGTGACCTTTTTTTTATTTAGTGAGTCAATGTTGCGAAATGTAACAGTGCCACTTGCATTTCTGTGGCATGAAATGGAGATGGAGTTCAGACGCCATTGCTGTGGGTTGTCTTTTAAGTTGATGAATGTCTTTGGCTTTGCACACTTATAACTTTTAACCACATAAATGTTGATAAAAAATATTTTACGAAACGATTAAAATCAATTTTGATGGTAAACTTTCCCATAACATTACAGCTGGTTGTCTGTTTCACGGTGAGACTTAAAATCACTAAACAAACCACAATAAGGCCGATTCATGATCACAATTTGATGGCTAGCTGAAACGTATGAATATTTGGGGCATGCAGTTTGCTCAGAGTATTATACCACCTGATTTTCTTAACTGCAACATGCAGGACAAACGAATGTTCAATAAACATACTTTTCTTTTTGCTGCTCGGTCTTTTTGTAAGCTTGAACGACATTGTGAATGCCTCTGGGTAGCTTCACTCTCCGTCTTAAATTAGGTTTTCGTCCCTCGTCTGGCACATCCGGTAGAGTCTGGGAAGCTGGCTAGGAACCTGTGAAAAGAAATCAAAATGTCAGTGGAATAAATACAGCAGCAAACCACAAGATCGTAAAAAGCTTTGTTTGATTTAGTAATACCACAAATATGCAAATGTGACTCGGCTCGACGTGCTGTCTCAAGGGAATGCTCATTTGACATGGAGATAACGCAGAGGGCCTGTTTTACTGGACCTTTATCTTCCTGATCTGACTCTAACAGCACGTCTTTCTTCATATTTTGCTTCACTACAATCCAATCTCATCTTGTGACATGTTGATATGAAGAAATTTTTTTTTAGCCAGACCTAAAGATTATGAGATGAACAATAAAACCGGTTACTCTGCAAAGAGTTAATAAGAGCTGCTGCTCTTTAGGTTTTGTTTGGCCGCTGAAATAACACACATCTAATTTAGTCATTCCTATATTATTGCACTTTGAGTACATGTTTTATTTATTTATTTTTATATCTTATGGATAAGGAAAACCATACATTCAGTGTAGCGAAAATTTAGGCCGTTGCATTCAATTGACAAAAAATACATATATTTTAAACAGAATTGTCAAGCTTCTGCAATCTATGTTTACTCCTGCGAGCTTTATCCCTGGCTATTGCATGAATCACTGCATGGAAACAACCAGTCTGCAGCATCGTTGAGGCGTAATGGAAGCCCAGGTTGCTTTGATACTGGCTTCAAGGTAATGTGCATCCTTCTGTCTGCCGTTTCTCATCTACCTCTTGACAAAAACTGATCGATTCTCTTTAGGTTCAGGTCAGATCAGGTTACCGGCCAATCAAGCCGAGTAACACCAAGGTTGTTGAACCGGCTTTTTACTGCCTTTGGCTGTGTTGGCAAATGCCAAGTCCTGAAAATGAAATCAGCATCTCAGCCAAGCTCGTCAGCTGGAAGAAGCATGAAGTGCTCAGAAATCTTCTGGCAGATTGATGCGTCGATTGCTGACTTCAGAAAACACAGCTGATCAACGCCAGCAGACGACACGGCACCTGAAATCATAACTGCATGACAGTGACATTTTACACAAAGCAGATTCTTTACCTCTTTGCGCTTCTTCCACTATGTGAGACCTTGATGTCCAAATAAAATTCAAACCTTAACCTTCGCTGAAAAGAGGGTTTTGGATCACTGAGCAACAATCTTGTTGCCCATGTGTAGGATGCACTAACTCCACTTTCAGTCCACTCCTTGTAAAGTCCTAAAAAATTCTTGATTTTGCTTGACAATCCTCTCTAGGCTGCAGTTATATCTATTTTTACTGATTAACTTTTTCCTTTGTTTCTTTCTCTTAACTCTCTCTGAATATAAATTTCTATGATGAACGAGTTTCACTTTTTGAAATAAGTGAGTAAAAATATTAAACTTTAACAAAGTATTCTGCTCTTTTGAGATGTATTTATGTATGTATATTGTTTTGTATTCCATTCTTAATCATTCGTACATTTCTAGCAGGTTTTGTTTTAAATCAGAGAATTCTTACCCCCTTTTGTTTCTTGTACATCTGCTTCATGGAAAGAGAGTCCAGACATCTGGTTGTCCCGTCACAAGTTAATTTATACCCATCGGTTCAGCGATAAAATACCCGCCAGCACCTCCTCTCTAACCAGACTGGAGCAAAATCATCATTATTTACACCCACACACACTGACAGAACACATTCAGGACTTGTAAGGAAATGGCATGCCTTGCTTTTGCAAAAAAATTCCTTACATCTCAAGCTTGACACTTGATCTTGATAATAGCACAGGATTGCAGTCTTTCACAGCGCTGCTGAAATGTATTCAGCTGCCAGAAGGATTATCATTTCCCTTCAGGGGTCAGTGACAAGGCTGCAGTCAGTGACGCACTAAAGCCTCGGACATGTGTCATCTCTCAGAGGAAGGTCTCTTATTACAGAAGAGGAAGAGTTAGCACGGCGATGCTTGATTTTATTCACGCAGAACCGTTTTTTGTAACTCTACCGATCTGTCCTCAGATGTGAGCTGTCGTAGAAAGAAAAAAAAAAACCCTGTTTGCTACCGTGCTTTAGATTTGCCGATTGTATTTGGATGGACGACTTTTCACAGCGTTCAAAGGACTCAGCTGAAGTTTAAGTTTGATGAGAGAGAATGCCAAAGACTGAGATGCGAGTCCTGACCGACGAGGCACTTTGGCTGCGAAAACAAAGTCTTAAAACTCGACTCAGGTTCAGTCTGTCATGAATAATCTTTATCTCAGGGAGCGAGGGGTGAAAATAATCCAATAGGAGAAGGTTATTTGAGTGAATGATCGATGAGGACATCAGTTTGACTGATTGACAGAGTGTCATTACACATCTCTTCTATGGTTTCAACAAAAGGTGCTAAATGAGTTAGACATCCAAGCTCATCTGTTTTTATTTAATGTTACAGCAAAACAGGAATCGAGACGCAGACCGCACCTGAGTTGTGCACATTATCCAGTCAGAAATTACATTTGTTTTCACAATCAGACCGTCAATTGTTCACGACAGCTTGCTATGTAATAACGGCCACATTAGATGGGCAGATGAAGCCGCATGAAGCCTTTTTCTTTCTAAACATGCCGAAAGAGATTCAGAGCTGAGGTCTAACTAAGAACAGTGGCTCCTTGTGGCCAACTGAAGCCACTGCAGCCTCTCAAGAGCAAAGCTGAAGTACTGGCGCTGCTTGAATCCAACGTGAACAATAAAACTGCAGCGTCGTCAGTCATGTGACAGAGATGTTAAAAGCTTAAACACTTTGCTTCAAATGACTCCGGCTCGGGAGGAGTCAGACAAACTCCACAGCCTCAGTGTGTCCATTTAAAACATCATTACACCCAGATGTCTTTTGATGTGAAAGACATCTGCCAATTATTTCTGAATATAATAAACTTAACTTGCTTATGTGCTCACTGCTTGCTTGTCATTATTGCAAGTTTTTTTTTTTTAAATAGGAGCACTTCCTGTTTCATACACCGAATTTGGCATTAACAGGTATCAGCCTATAGTTAACTTTAAACTTTAAACCCCAGCTTTTAAGTTTGTTTGTTTGTTTGTTTGTTTTATTTACATGAACTGCATGCGTTAAAAAGATAAAGATGATCATAAGTTAGAATTAAGGAGAGCAATTTGGATTCCTGGTACACATCAGGTTTGGTATAGCCAAATAAATGGCTTGCTATCATTTTAAATACAAATGTTTCAGAACATTATGCAAGATTAACTGAATAAACAGGAACTTAGGATCTGCCCCACTCATTTACACTTATGGAAATGAGTGTAAAGGTCAAGCTTAAATAGAGAATAACTTTCCTGCTAATTCAGAAGGTCCCATTTAGGAAGGTTACAATTTCGCATCACTCTTTCATAGGACGTCTCCACTTGTACGTTGGGTAAAGCTTTATAACTAAAGGAGACACACAAAGAAAAATTGTACAATATTTGCATTCGTAAATGCCACATAAAAATTTATGCGACACAAATGCTGGAAAGCTGTACGTCCACCTGAGGGATAAGTGCTCTGCAGAGGAAAAGATTACCGCTTCTCTATTTCTGTCCTGCAAAGCTCTTTAGCAGTCTTACCCTCATGTGTCTGGAGCTGCGAGCGCGAGGTGTGTATGCTTCACGAGCCTGAGAGACTTCTGCTAACGGACATAATCAACACTGTCTTCACGTTGCCTTTCCCCGAGAAGCCCTCTGCTGAATTGCATGCCTGATTGGCTCAGACTTATTTCTGCATGGACTTTTAACTTTCTCTTAGCCGAAGTGAGGACTGCAACAGAAAGCCGAGGCCTTTAAGGAATAGTAGACTCAAACAACAGTGGTCAAGATGTTGATCACAATGCTAACGGCCATGTATGTGATGGTGAAAGTTGTAGAATCGGTAAGCTGATTTTTATTAATGCATGACTTACTGGTAGACTGCTAAAGATCTGTGTTGAGAATCGCAGTTGCAGCAGCTGGATGCATACATAATGCGCATTTTCTCTTCTCCAATTAGTTTCTTTATGGAACTGAATTTTAATGCGACTTGCTGAAGGAAACCACTGCTGCAACCATTCATTTATATTTCTTGCAGTGAGTTGCATCAGTTTGAATCTGACTTATTCAATTAACATCAAAATCTGTGCGATTTGTCAGAAGTTTTCCAACAGAAATTGTCTTCCAAGCAATGGAGATTCACTTTCAAACTTCAGAGTGTAGTGAAAGGAGGAAGAAAACACTCAAATGTAACTCCTACCCCAAGCCTCACCCCCCCCCTTTTTTTCATTTATTTATTTTTTTTGCTTTTAGATTGGGGTCCGATTTGCACAGAAAGACGAACCTTTGCCTTACATGGTATCTCAGCCTTTGCCCTGGCAGGTTCACTCTGTGTCTCACAGCAGGAGGAGCAGCAAAGCAGAAGAGGTTAGTCTTAACAAGCTCTCCGCTTCATTATTGCTGATGCTCTCTTACTAAAGGTAAAGTTACCAGATTTATTTCTATGCATGCATGTATCCGTCTTCTAGGGTTCCTTCGAAGTGTCTTGTCCGCTATTTCGTTCATATGACTGCATCGGCCGCCCCTCTTTTTGCTTGGCTGGGTTTTCATTTTCATGAATTCCTCAGTCCAGTGCTCTGTTACTTTAAGATAAACCACGTTGAACGTTCACCAGCCAGCTGGAGCTCGGCGACATATAATGGCAGCTCCTCATAAAATCACAAAAATTTGACTTCAGTGGGATTTAGACCAGATATGTTCCCCCATGCAAATGTGCAATTAAATTATGGACTATAATTTATTTACTTTTTGACATTGTAGTTCACCACATCTTTGTGTCCATCAACACTGCTGGTCTGAGTAACACAAAGTTTTTTGGGTTTTTTTAAATCCAATTATATTTGACTTTAGAAGAAATTACTTTCAAGCCTCTGATGAATCATTACCTATAATGGATGTTTGCATAAACTGGACACCTGCAAAGTCTCAGTTTGCTATCATGCTTTAGATTTTAAAAAAGATTCTTGGGGAAAAGAAAAAAAAAAACCTTTTTGTCAACGTCAAGCTTCAAAATATCTGATGGCAAATGGCTGACAATCTGAATGATTCCTAGTACCTCTATTGTACCTTTGGTGGAGTTTTAGGGGCCTGATTTGAAAAGGTACCTCTGTGATTTCCTTACAGCGCAAGAAAAAATTAATTATGGACTAAATCTGACCGCAGCTTCAGTTCACTTGTACCTGGGTGAGAGCAGAGTGCACACCTTTTTGTTATAGCGTCACAAAACCGGTGTTCGCCTGAATGCAGGCACCCAGCCAAATATGCAGGTAAGCATGCTAAGACGGGACATTTCTCCGACTCTGGATCCCCCGCCAGTTTTCCACTTGAGCTGTAATCCCAACCAAGAGGATTTGTGTTTGAGGTCATTATTCAAGCTCTGGATAAAAAAAAAAAAGGGCACACGGGTGAAGTCACACATGCAGCGACCTGATGCCCAAAAAGAGCAGATTCACGTTTTGTACGGATTCTACAAAAGCTAGCACGATAAGCTATCCATGTGCTCGATCGCTTCCGGTTTCAAAGGAATGTGAACGATGTGTACGGAAAGTTCCAGATAACTTTGTGTGTTTTTATCTGTTGATCAGACGGGGGCTTTAGTTTGAACAAGCTTTCTGACATTTTTATTTTTTTTGCTTTTGCAGTTTGATGGCTACAGGAGGAACAGCATAGGCGTGTACAGAAAGAGTAAGTCTCAGGACACTGTTTGCGGTGATTGGTTGACCTTTAAAATGGATTTTTGAATTAGTCCAACTTTTTAATTAATGCTAAAATAATAATAAAAAAAATTCACATGACACAGTTAATCACATAATCACTCCAAAAAAATAAAAATAAATAAATAAATAAATTATTTGATCATTATAATTTCCTTTCGACTCTCTTGCTTCCTCTCATTCTCAGACTCCTGCACCAGCAATGGCACATGTGGCACACCATCAGTTCCTCCTCTTAGCCCTGTTGAAGTTGAAAAAGCAGCATCTACCATCCAGAACCACTTCAGGAAGTTCCAGCAGAAAAAACACAAGAACGACAAATAGACGAACGGTGAGGGTTGGCGTGTTGCAAGTGCAGTTTTAAAGGCAACAGGAAGGTGGGCCAGGTTGAACATAACAGCCTACAAGCAAATTTTACATATATGCTGAAATTAGTTCTGGAAAATATATCACAGGAAACCAGTAACACATAGCAGTAGTCTTTATGACAGACAAATTTTGTAGCATCATTTAGAATTCAGGATGACAATTAATGTGAATTTGTGTGTCTGAATAAATGGCTTTATGTGCATTGCTGCCAGGGGGATTGTTAAAATGTTTGTATTTTTTTGAGCATCCTATCATTTGTATGACTTATTTTAACAATGTGGCAAAAACTGTGAATATATTTTCCTTTCAAAGAATCTTTGTTGAATTTTAAATTCAGGATATAAATAAAATTGTCTTTAAGACTTTGTTGGATGTTTGTCTCTGATGTTTTCCCTTTTTTCTCTCCTTTATACCTTTTTTTTTATTTAGGAATGTAAAGAAAAACGGCTTAAAATGGTTTGGATTTTAAGGCTAATCACATTAAACTCCAGCTCTTGTTGAAATTTGTTTTTTAATTTTGTCTCGACGAGTGTGCTCCTCACAAACTTGCCATTTCCGACTTTTACCGTACTTACTTTACCGGAAAAAATAGAATAAATATTCAAGGTTAGCATTGCTACTAGATAGACCTGAAAAAATAAACATCATCACAGTTTATAAAAAGATAGCTTTATTGCACAAGGTTTTAAGTACTCTTTTTTTTTGTTTTTTTTCCCCCCCCGCTTTTGTTTGTTTTGATAGAAAAGAGAATGTAGGGTTAAACACAAGCAATTGCAAACTGAAGCAATGTTTCCCAATAAAAGTTTAAAGAACAACTGCTGGATTCTTAAAATTATTTTTTATTAATGTCTGTTCAATTCACCTCTTCCCCCTTTTCTCTTTTATAACCAGGAAAATTTCAGAACATGCAACGCTGCTGCCCCTCCCCCAAAAAGCTCATTGACAAAAAAAAAAAAAAAAAAAAAACCTCTAGAAAAAAAAAAAAAAAAAAAAAACCTGTGATGAAGTAAAAACAGAAACGGATACAAAAATAAAAATTAAAACTATGCAACAAAATGCCCAATAAAAATCAAACTATCATTAGTTAACATTGCATGGCCTATTCTGACATGTTGTATCTGGTCCATGGATGAGGATAAAGCAGTTAATTATAGGTTTTCGATGAGTCTTCATCACGTCACCTGTACTTCAGAGTTTACATTGTGCCCCGGTTGCAAGTGAAGATGTCGAAAATAGTAGTCATTTATACAAAACACTTTTCATATGTACACAAGTCCTTTCTTATGGTGTAGAAATCATGTATAAAGGTGGAGAAAAGGCTAAAGAGGAGGGAAGGGGAGAGGTTCTGATTGGTCGACAGATGTAGGAAAAAAACAGATGTAAAATATAGGCAGTATGCAGGTCAGTTTGAAAGCATGTATCATTTTAAAGAAAAATCCACCCAGTATAAATTATACGTTGTATAGCTCCAGTTATAGGCCTGGACTTATTCAACTTATTTGTTCAAAAAACATTTATTGTACGTTTTGAATTCAACGTAAAAAAAAAACAACGTTGAATTATTATGAAACATGTTTATGATGTAAAAATTTTGAACTGGGTGAACGGGTTTCCATGAACAAGGTCAAAATTACCCATTCATACTCAGACATACCACTAATATTTTCATAAACGGTCCTAAAGCTGAAAGGGAAACAGTTTTCAAAGCCGTCATCGAGGTTCATGCTGTGATTCCGGGTGGATATTTAACATCTCTTCCTTTTGAAAGTTTATTTTATGTCCAAGTTTCAAACATTAGCGCACAAATAATTATTGTTCTTGTGGTCAAGCAGCTCGGTGTTTGCTTCTTCTGACCACTTTCTCCAGAGGCCACTTGGCTTGGTCCATATCTGGGCACCCAAAAGTGTCGGGGTGTCAATTCATGGAGCAGGGACCTCTTTTCTACTTTGTGTTTGAAACATGGGTAAATTTGAGCGTTTGGAAGGGTTAGCTTGGCTAATGTTGACCTTCAAGAGCTGTTGTGACTTTACCTTCTTGAGGTATTTTGATTACAGGAAGGCCAACGGCAGAAAATCAAACCCAACATACGGCACTGCCATCCAACCAGAGCCATGCAAAGTCGTCTTGATGTTGACAAGCGGCATATAGTTTCTATGCAGCTTACCAGGTGAGTTTTAGCCAAACAACAGAGTTGTGTAGATTTGAGAAAAGCCACAATAAATTGAAACATGTTCACCCAGATCATTCATATATATATATATATATATATAAGTCTAAAATCAATGGGATTTATTCATTTATTGCACCCTTATCAGAATTGTAGTTCTATTTCAGTGAACTTCCCAATTTATAGTGATTAAAAGTGAATTGAAAATAAATCTCAAATTTACAAAAATTGTGCGAGTCGAATAAAAAAGTAGTTTTTTGTTTAAATACAGAAATATAGCTCACACACCATTTCAGTTTGCAATTAAGATGGGGTGGAAATTTCTTTGAAAAATATTACATTCACTTTAAGCAAACCGACTGAAAATTGGAGGGAAAGCATGTTGGTTAGAAGTTTATTTCATCAATCCAATCAAAATCCATAAAGCTGGAGTAAGGAAGCCCTTATGGGAAAAAAACAAAACAAAAACAAACCAGGCTTTTCCAAACTCATACTTTTTCCCCGGACAAGTGTTTGCATAACTTAAAATGAAAAGGCAAGTAAATGCATCTTAACACTATGTATAGAAATCAACACATATCCATTCTTGAATTCCAAAATACATAAAAAAAATAATAAAATAAAAATTAAATTCTTACAGTTATCTGCAGTAATATCCGTCACTGGCCTGGAGAAAAGAAAGACAATCTGTCCGTGTTCATTAGTTGTAGTTTGGTAGTGGCGTCGAGTCTGTGAACACAAATATTCGGAAGGTACAATACAACAAACCACAAGAGGCTCAATCACTTTATAAGCTTTTCCTTTGAACCGTTTTCTTTTTGCGACACCACACGTCCTGCACTATCTGAGACCACAATAAACCAGCAACACATCTTGCACTATATTTTCACTTTCCTGTGCTTGTCCTTTTCAAAAAAAATCACACGGGAGTCATCGACGTCTCATTTCTCAAGTCCCAGTTTCACCAGTAACTTTCACACCACTCTCTTTTCTCTCCAAGGTCTTCCATCCACAGCCGCGCTACCCGTTTAAACCTCCCGTCTTCCTGCTTCGTTATCATTTAGTGTGATGCTTCACTCGGAGCGATTGTCTTGTGATCTTTTAATATATATTTTCAATTAGAACGGCTTTTATATGTCTCTGCTCTTTATTCATATATTTGCTATATATTTGAATAGAAATATATATGTACATACTTTTTTTTTTTTGAAAACAAACATATATATGGTATCTTTTTTTCTATTGCGAGAGCCCTGATGTTACGTTTTACCGATGCAAAACTTTTGGAGCAACTCTTTTCTATGTTTTTTTTTTTTTTTTTTGGAACAATTATTGTTATGAGATTACAAACTTTGGGATAAAGGAATGAAGAATGAAAACAAAAGAAACATTTCAACCGCAAAATTAAAACTTAAATTAAAAAAGTTAGAGAAACTTGATTTTTTTTCTTTTTTTTTTTTCTTTTTTTTAGCAAATTCTTCAGATTCTTGTAACACTATATAATTTCATTGCCTGGTCATTTATTCAAAATCATACAAATACATTTCTCAAAAAATTTGCTGAATGTGCGCATTCAAGCTGTCACTGAAAGTTAAGAATTTCTGCACAGACGTGCGTAAAGGAAACCTCTTGTTCGGTTGGTCTGTCTGTCTGGCCAGCATGCTAGCAGTACGTCACAGTGACACTGTATGAATGTGATGGGGGGAGGGGCAGGAGGAAAGGAGAGCGGATGATGGAAGTGTTGTGAAGGCGACAGTGAAATGACGGGATTGTGAACCGTAAAGGAGTTTCCTAAAGTCTTTGTCCAGATAAAAATAAAAATGACCAAACAGGACCCTCTAATGCCTTGCAAAACTATAAATACTCCTTTAACTTTTTTTCATATTTCCTTAGATGCAACCCCAAACCTGGATGTAGTTTTTAGAGATTTAGATGCGATAAACCAACAGAAAAGCAGCGTATAACTGTGAAACGGAAGGAAAACAATACGTAGTTTTGAACTAGAAAATCTAACTTGTGAATATTTCAGCTCTGGCTGCATGTTTAATGCAGTTGCTCTGCAGGGAGATCGGCTCAAGTGTCTTGCAAGAAATAAAACTTATTAGTCAAGTTCCCTCTACTTTTCTCAATCCAGCTTCCCATGAACTCTGAGCCACTTCCCTCTCCATGCAATGAAATTACACCCCAACATCACAGTTACCATTATCCACAGGGGGAAATGTGTATGTGCAGTGTTAGTTTGCATAGAGCTAAATTTTGGTCTCATCCCAAATTAACCGTCTTCAACAAAGACTACCAGGGTATCTTATGGCTTTCTTTAAGCAATGGCTCTCTTCTCATTCCTCGACCATTAAATGTCAAATTTGCAGAATGGCAGCTAATATTTGTCCTGCTAAAAGTGTTTTCACCCGAACTGTGAATCTTGGTAGCTTTTCCAGAGTTACCATTACGCAGAAAGCTTGTTGTAACTGAGCCAGTTTGCTGCTTCTCTGATAGATGACATGATTTGGTAGGTTTGTGGGTGTGTTGTCCTCTTTTCTGTTTTCAGATATCTCGACTTTAAACTGCTCTGAAATTTTAACCTCGCACTGTCAGTTGTTGTCCTTGGTCTTCATGTCGCTCTCCGTTTACTTCACTTCTCTAACAAGCTCTGCACCGAGTAGCAACACGCTGTCGTTAAATCATGACAAGTTCATTATTTTTCTCATTAAGTCAGTTCTGTCGTAAATTGGCTCACTGGATTTTACTTGGGGGCATTAGCATAAAGCGGGTTAAATATAAATAGAAGCCACACTTTTCACATCAATATACAGAAAACAATTTAAAAATCTGGGTATCATTTTCTTTCCTCGTTACAATTATGCGCTACTCTCTATTGGTCTATTATATAAAGTCTCAATAAAATATTTTTTAAAGTTGGCTGTCGTGACAAAATGTGAAATAAATCAAGGGGGGTGAATACTTTTGCAAGGCACTGCATTTCTAATCCTCAAATGAAAGCTTATGGACCTTCTGCTTCATTAGCATTTTTATAACTCACCTACACCATGTTGTTAGCAACAGATATTAAATCTGAAAAAACAAAAACAAAAAAAACCGACTAGAGCAAATTAAGTTTAAATTGTGTCAAATTGTCAGCATCATCATTATCATTCTGTGTTTTCATAGGTACAAAAAGAAAAAAATAAAACTGGGGAGGAGGGTTTTGTTTAGTTTAGACACAGACTTCTGCCCAAGAATTCAGCATACAGATTGGTTTTAAAAAGGTCCATTGTTGGTGTGTGCCTGCCACATGTACACATATATATTTACACATATACATCCACACACACACACGCACGCACGCACACACACGCTCACTCACTCACTCACTCGTGACATTTTCGTTACTTGGATCCTTTCAAACTGTTTCCTAGTGCACACGGGGTTATATGCTTCCATCGTCTGAAAACAAACAAACCTTTTGGATAAAAGAAAAAAAAAAAGAATCTAGATTTCACTCAGTGATGCTTGACATTTTTAGCTCCTCTTTCTATAAAATCTTCCATTGCGACCGCAACGCTGGGTCATCCATTGCATGTACAAGAGTCGTTCCTCTGCCTCTAATGTGTGGATCTATGATGGACTAACCGTACAGAGCCAAAGTAACACAGAGGCTGGGGATTTGTGCATACAGCAAAGGCATCCTGCCGTGGCACAATGCTGAGATATGAACGAATCTTCCATCAGAGAACATAACGGTTACATATCGTTTGTTTTTAAAAAAATAAAAATAAAAATAAAAAAAAATTAAACCTCAACACACGTCTTAAGCAACCTGGTTCAATCTACAGCTGTCTTGTTGTAGAAAGCAAGACAGTGCAAGTTAAAAGCATTTTGTGCATAAGTTCTGTGTACTTGCCTGAAAATGAAGATAGACTGAACAGATAAATCATTTTTGTTTTGGCAAGTGATTTCCAGGGTGATTTAAAAAATAGAAAGAGAGAGAAAGAGAGAGAAAGAGAGAAATTACACAAATATAACGGAACACAATCAGGCAGAAAGAAAGGCAAGCCCCTGTGCTGTGGACACCCAACTCTGACCCCTTGAAACAGTTGTGTTGACGGGAGCCCAACCAGCTCCCTGCAGGCTGACACAGCACAGGCACTGACGGGTAAGCTGTGCATGTGTATGTTCGTCACCCCGATTCACCACAGAGGCTCCAGGCAAACGCCGGCTGAACCAGCATTGTATTAAGAGTTACAGTGACAGGCCTCGCTAATGGCAGGCTACACCAGTGTGTAGGACTTGGAGTAGGCTCCTGACCCCCCATCCCTCTGCTTCTGCAGTCTGCCTAATCCCGAAGAGCTGCTCTCCAGGAGAGAGTCTCTGGATCCTCCCATTTTGGAGGAGGAAGAAGAGGCACCTCCAGGGGTCCCCCCCGAGGTCCCTGCTGCCCCACCGCCAGAGGAAGATGATGCCCCTCCTGCAGCAGCGGTGGCGGCGGCGGCACTCTGAGCCGCAGAAGCAGAGGAGCTGGGCATGGTGAGAGTCCGCTGGGGCAGCGTGGAGCTGCTGGAGCTGGCAGACAAGCCTCCGCTCCCACTGCCTCCACCGCCGCCTCCCGTTGCTCCTCCAGAGGACGCCCCGGAGGAAGTGAGGTTTGACAGGCCGGAGTGGCCCATGGTCAGAGCCTGTTGCTTCGCAGAGTCCATGGTCACGTGACGGCCCTGGCTGTGGTACGCCCGCTGGGCTAGGCCACGAATAGAGGCTTCGCGTGGTGGAACAACTGGACATGGGTCATGGTGTTCTGACTGCTTTCGGAAAAAGGGATCGGACTTCATGTACAGGGGCAGGTTGCAGTAGTCGCCTGGAGAGAGAGAGAGAGAAAAAAAATAAAGCTCAAATTTAACTTCAAGATCTCGCTCAAAACAAAAGGCTATAAATGTTGAATTAAAAATTATCTGAAGAAAATTCAAAAGATTTTCAGCGGCAGATTATGTTTGATTTTGGATGCAAGACTTGCTGTGGACGAACTATTTTATTGGAGTACATAATTGGACCCTTGTCGATAGAAAAAAACCTTGCTGTTTGAAAAGGCTCTGCTCTGTTAATCATATGACGTTTCAAACAATGACTGGAACATTATACTGCATTTCTGAATGGTTTGACAAAACCATTTACTGTGTCTACAATTTTGGTTATATCTTTGCTTGGTATACAATCCCAAAAATCATAGCTTTACAATGATGTTTAACATGCATATGTACATGGAAAGGGTATCAAAACCCCCTGCATAGCATAGCATAGCATAGCATAGCATAGCATAGCATAGCGGGACATATTATTTTCACTTATGCATAGGAACTGTAAAATAAATGGGAAACATTATGCAGCGGCCACTTACTCTTGGCGCGGTGTGGAATGGGCACGGCTACATTCTTGCCACGATCGTAGTCTTGGGGTTTGGGCGGCGAGGCAGTGAAACGGCAGATGCCGGGCTCTGACGGTGTGCTCATAGACGTCATACTGTCTGCGTTGTCGTTGGTACCTGTGGTCATCTGATCAGACGAGCTGTCGGATATAAAGCACTCTGTAATCTCAAATTTGGCATGTTGCAGGTGTTCCTCCAGCTTTGCATGCTCGTAGGCTCTTGCCAGCTCTTCGTAGGTGGAGGAGGCGCTCTCGGTGGACACCATGCTGTTGCGCCCCTTGTCTGTGTGTGACATAAGAGGAAAGCACATTTTGTCCAGGATTTTTATGCACTCAAGCGCTCAAAAGTCACATCCTTCCTCCACTCCTCCGCACAGTTTATTTGGTACATGTTAATGGCTGTAAGTGTCATTTCACCCTTGTACCAACCTGTGTCCTGTGAGAGGCTGGCACTGTAGCTGTCACTCTCTGTGACAGTGATGCCATGCTGAGAACCAACTGTGCGCCAGTCTGAAGTGAGAGTGCGGGCTGGCGTCGACGCCTGACACTTGGTCAGAGTCCATTGACTGGAGTAGCGGTTCCTGATGCTGTGGGCTGACTTAACACTCTTCCTTGACACTGG